TCCATTGGCAGTTGATTCTCTAGATCTGTTTGATCCTCTAAGATAGTTTCAGGATTGTGTTTAGAAGAATTAACATCTTCCTGAATGTTTCCTTTACGTGTTGAACGCTTAGGAGCCATGGTAAAAACCTCCAAATTAATAAGAGTTAAATGGATTAAATCTAGTTTTTTCCCACTATGGTCGCCAAAAATTTTTTGAGGTAAATATTGCTCTTTACCAACAAGTTGAATACACTATCTTGTTCTAGAGTATTAGGGAGTTTCCTCTCGAGTTACTAGTTTCAAATATTGATAACCTTAATAACATAAAACAAATAAATAAGGAAGCTTTTCCAAAAGAAGTAAAACAAGTTAGATTTCTCAAAGAAACAAGTAGAAAAACATATGACAAAAGATACAAATGCATTCCATTAATGAAAGGATATAGTCAGGTCTACAATTATACAAGTTGAAGGAGAGGTTACCTCCATGGTCATACAATTGGAAAAGACGAACGATCTTCAATACACTATGTGATAAACTACAGTATCGCTTGGCTACTAAGCCAAGGAAAACTACGAAAGCTAAGAAGAAAGGTTAAAAGAAATGAAATGCTTGTGGTTGAGTTATTTGTTGATGTCTTCTTTTGGTCCTTGTACTTCTATTTATAGGCAAAATGGAATGGTTATAGCTGAATCCCATAACTGTTGTACGGTTATGCATCTTGGCGCCAACTCTATTTTGAAAATTAAAATAATCCATTAGCTTTCTAATATGGTCTATATATAATTGGGCCTTAGTATGATATCATACCAATGGCTGTTATGTTTTAATCAAACTAGCCCAAAGACCCTCCACTGACTCTAGGCTTTTTCAAATTGGTCAAAGTCAAGAAAGTCAAATAAAAGTCAAAAATCTAAATTTTAGGTGTAACATTATGTAAAAAAAAAAAAAAAAGGAATTTGAGATGAAAGCTTGGAACCACTAAGTATTGTCTTCGCTTGCAATTCGAGCATTTTAAAAGTAGAATTGTCATCTATTGATAAGTTACCTTGAAAAGGTTCTACAGTGCTTTAATATTGATAAAGCACACCCATTAAGTACACCCATGGTAGTTTGATCACATAATGTAGACAATGATCCTTTTCGACCTCGGGAACCCGATGGAGAAATATCAGGTCTTGAAATCCCATATCTTTGTGCTATCGGTGGATTAATGTATCTTGCTAACAATACGCGGCTAGATATAGCCTTTGTGTTAAATTTGTTAGCCATTCAACATCCACACAAAGACACTGGAATGGTGTTAAACATGCTCTACGTTATTTTACGTGGCACTAGTGATATGACTAGAGCTGTCAATTTGGGTAAATAGGTCGGGTTTGGGTCAGGTCAACTCGGGTCGGGTCATTTCGGGTTAATGTCGTAACCTATATGGGTCGGGTTCGGGTAGGGTCATGCTTGAGTCGGGTATCATCGGGTCATACATCTTATCAGGTTTGGGTCGGGTTTAGGTTGGGTTAATAACAGGTTGGATTACATTGGAGTCGGGTGAATAATAGGCTGGGTTTAATTCGGGTTTTCACGGGTTAAAACGGGTTAGGGTCATTCTCGAGTTCGAGTCGGATTCTGTTCAAGTCAATAATTTACGGGTTATAATCAGGTCGGGTCATTCTTAGGTTTGAGTCGGGTTCGGTGCAAGTCAAAAATTTGTGGGTTATAATCAGGTCGGGTCATTTCCAAGTCGAGTCATTCTCGGGTTCAAGTTGGGTTCGGTTCAAGTCAATTATTTACGGGTTACAATCAGGTCGGGTAATTTACAAGTCGGGTCATGTTCGGGTTCAAGTCGGGTTTGGTTCAAGTAAAAAAATTGCAGGTTATAATCAGGTCGGATCATTTCCAAATCAGGTCATGTTCGGGTTCGGGTCTCAAATATTGGGTTAATTTGGGTATCAGCTAGATTTCAGGTCTGGTCATATCAGGTTCGGGTACATTTTTTGGGTCGGTTTGTTAATAGTTCATGTAATGAAATTCACGTTTAATCATTATCAATTACTTCATTTATTGTAAGCGAAATAATTTCAGGTAAGTTTAAATTCGAGGTAATAAGTTCTAATAAGCTAAGTTTAGATAAAATCTACATAATAAATTCATATTAATTCCAATAAGATAGGTTTAGTTTAGATTTTTAGAAGCTAAGTTCAAACGCTATTCTAATCTATTCACATTGATTCCACTCATTTTAGGGATACCAATTTCAGATAAGTTCATATTCGAGATGAAATGTTAAGATAAAATACAATAAGTTCGTATAAATTCGGATAAAATAGGTTTAGTTTAGATAAGTTAAAATACAATAATTTTTTTCTTTCTAAACTTATTTTATTTGAAATTATCTAAACTTGTTTATTTTTTATAAGTTCATGTCCGGGTTTATGTTTTTTTTAATGGCATTTTTTTAAACATTTAAATGGCGTTATTCAAAACATTTAAATAAGAATAAATAGGCAAATGAATAATAAAATTAGAAAAATAAAAGACCAATAAAAGCCTTTTAACAGCTCTAGTTCGGGTCACCACTTTCTCGAGTCTAGACAAGTCAAGTCATGATCGGGTACAGGTAAATTATTTAGGTCAGATTATCATCGGGTCATTGTTATATACTCATGCTCGCATTCAATCATTATCACATTCAATTCAATCATTATTCGAAATTATAATATTTTTAAACTTTTTTTTATTTGATTTTTTTAAAAATAAAATATAAGATAAAACAAACAAGCCAAAGGTCAAATAGTATTTGTAAACCGTAATTGACTACATTAATGCACATGCACCTACAAAGTAGTAGTATTCGTAAACCATAATTGCTTAATTGAAATATAGAATGAACTTGCACCTAAAAAGTAGTAGTATTCGTAAATCGTAATTACTAAATTTAAATAAAGAATGCACATGCATCCAAAAATTAGAGGTATTCAAAAATTTTATAGGTTTTTTTGAGACATATAAATTGTAATACATTTGATAATAGAGAATTTTATTGAAAATATTTGAATAAGCTTAAATAGGAAAATAACTCATAGAATTAGGGGAAAAAAAAAGATGTGACGTAATCCTAGATTGTTAGTTAATTTTGAGTCAATAACAAGTCGGGTTGATTTCGGGTCGGGTTAGTGACAGATCGGGTTGAATTTCGGGTTGGGTTAGTAATAGGTCAGGTTAAATTCGCGTCGGGTTAGTAATAGGTCGAGTTAAATTCGGGTCGAGTTAGGAATAGGTCGGGTTGAATTCAAGTCGGGTTAAATTCGGGTTTTGACGAGTTAAAACGGGTTTGGGTCAATTTCGGTTCAGGTCGGGTTTGGTTCAAGTCAATATTTTACGGGTTATATTCGGGTCAGGTCATCTCCAGGTCAGGTTCATGTTTGGGTTCGGGTCTCAAATACTCAGGTTAACTCGGGTCTAAGGTTGGTTTCAGGTTGGGTCATATCGAGTTCGGGTCATCATTTTTCCGGGTTTAGACGGGTCGGTTTATAATCGGGTTCAGGTCGGGTCAGCTTTTGACAGCTTTAGATATGAGGCTTTTTATTTTATTTTATTTTTTTTAAAAAAAACTTAAAATAAAAAAATGAAGATTCAAGTAATGTCCAATTGGTTGGATATGAAAATGCTGTGTTATTTATCTGATCCACACAAAGCCATATCTCAAATAGGGTATTTGTTCATATATGGTGGAACTGCCATTTTATGGCGTTCAACAAAATAGACTTTAACTGCCACCTCGTTAAATCATACATAATTGATTTCATTATATGAATCAGGATGAGAATGTGTGTGGCTTAAATCATTAATTCACTATATCCGAAAGTCATGTGGCTTGACATCGGTTAAGGAAAAATCGACAATAATATTTGAGGATAATACCGCTTGTATCGCTTAGATTAAAAAAGAGTGTATTAAAGCGATAAAACCTAAATTTTTCTATACCCATGAATTACAAGTAAAAGGCGAAATTGATGTCCAACAAATTCTCTTAGATAAAAATTTAGCAGTGTTGTTTACAAAGTCATTACATATGAAGGTATTCACAAAACTCATACATGATTGGTATATGACGTATGAGAGATGTATGCTAAGTTAAGGGGGAGAATTATAATATGCAAATGTACTCTTTTCTTTTGTTATGATTTTTGTCTCACAAGATTTTTCCATGTAAGATTTTTAATGAGGTAGTATTGCAAAAGATGTAAAAAGTGTACATCCAAGAAGAAGTGTTATAAAACATCCATATTAAATGAATTTGACACCTTATTTACATCTTCTATAGCTACATTACTAATGGAAGAGTAACACCTCCATTAGTTACACCACTAATGAAGGCGTGGTGTTACTCTAGTTGTTCTAGTATAAATAGATGATCTTACAAAATCTATGTACTTTACATAATACAATACAAGTAATAAAATAAAGGCTTGATCTTGCTATCTATATTATAACAAAAACTATATATATTTAAATATGTTAGTTAAATTAATAGTGAATTCCTGAAATTAACGCACACAAAGCGTGCATATAGAACTAGTACTACGAGTATGTTTTGAGTGAAAAATAGCTCAAGTAGTTACCTAATTACAAGAAAATTTGTGATCGATTCTCATCGCCCACGCCTTGCTCTCTAAACACCCAAAAAAAAATGGTATGAGTAATATTAAAACAAAAAAAAACTGTAAAAATATTTGAATTCCATTCTTTTCCGACCTGTTTTTGCCTGTCACTCACAAATTGTGTCCCCTCTCTCTCTCATACTCCCCTGACGGTGTTGTAAGCTAAAGATCTTCGGCGGCGTAACAATGAGTGTGATCAACATTCTCACTAGAGTTGAGGCGATCTGCCAGAAGTACGACAAATACGACGTCGAAAAGCAACGAGACTCCAATGTTTCCGGCGACGACGCGTTTGCCCGCCTCTACTCTTCCGTCGAATCCGACATCGAAACTGCCTATCAGGTCTTTTGCTCCTCCTTCTCTCATTGTTTGGTTTTGCTTGATTTAGGATTTTAATTGAATTTATGGTTGTTGAATTGGGGAATTTTTACTTTTCAGAAAGCTGAAACAGCTGCAAATGAGTCGAATAGGGCGTCGGTTGTGGCATTGAATGCTGAGATTCGTCGAATTAAAGGTCGATTACTTGAAGAAGTGCCTAAATTGCAGCGCTTGGCTCAAAAAAGGGTGTGTAATTTTCTTCATTTTTGGTTTGTGATGCTACTTAATTTGATTTTATGCAATTTCAATTGATTTGTTGCCAATTTTTTTCAAATTTTGCTGGATCTGTGTTTACTTGAAACTCTGAAATGTCTGTAGTTTCTACTAGCAAATACAGTTGAAGAACTAAATAGGTAGAACGACACTGAATTATACTTTCTTTTTTTGTAGATTGAATTGGTATTATGAAATTAGTTTCGTTGCATTTTGAGGTTCTGTTGATGGCGAAGTTTTTTGACTATGTTTATGTGATGCTAAATTATTTGAGGTTGATGCTAAATTATTTGAGGTTGAATGCATAAGTGGACCAGGATTTTAAGATTGGGCAGGGCGTAAAGCCGTAAACTACAGAGCTTTCTCAAAGAATTAGGAGAAAAAAAATTCCTAAACAGAAAGAGGGGTAAAAAAACGCCAAAGTAATTAATAAGAAAATGTAATATGCTTATCACATAAAAAGATATATTTTAAATAAATCCGTATAACTCTGAAATTAGTGTCAACAGAAGCAAATCGAGTAAAGCTACTACCACTAGGATTTGAATTGTTGCATCAAACAAGAATCAAGTATGCTAACCCATTTTTCTGTAAAACGACCAAGTCAATACCTTTTATAGATATTCTGGGCAATGAGGCGGGTTGTGGCCTGGGTAGGCCTGCTCCTAGATTTGCCAGTGGTTGAATGGTGAAAACATTGTATTTTGATTTTAATCAAAGCCATTATATCTTGCATTTTGTCTTGGTTTTTATTTTATTTTATTTCATTTTTATTACAATATGATTACTTATTTAGTTATTCTTATGTAATGCAGGTGAAAGGGCTTTCAATTGAGGAACTTTCGGCTCGTAATGATTTAGTCCTTGCTTTGCCTGATAGAATTCAATCCATACCAGATGGAACCCCTGCAGCTAAAAAGAATGGGGGTTGGACATCTGGTTGGACTTCTTCAGCTACTCGCCAAGAGATAAAATTTGATTCAGGTGTGTGTTTGAATTTATTTGTCAGGCATTTGGAAAATAAACCTACATTTGTTAGTGTTAAGGTTGACGCTTGAAAGTGCTTATGGGATTAATATAATATATTGCGTTTTGTTTTCTATTAATGGTAGATGGAAGATTTGATGATGAGTATCTACAGGAGACTGAACAGTCAAGCCAATTTAAGCAAGAATATGAAATGAGAAAAATCAAGCAGGTGAATTTGCACAAAGCTCCCTTTTCTAACTCTCTAAACTTTCAGTTGAATTTGAGTTCATTCTTGCATGTCCATGTGTTTTAATCCTTGCTTTTTGGTAATATTTTTATTTTGTTAGGATCAAGGTCTGGATGTGATAGCAGAAGGTTTGGACACACTGAAAAACATGGCACACGATATGAACGAGGTTTTCCATCTTTTTGTATCCTTCCTTTGATAAATTTCAAATAAGTATTCTGTTTTGATTTTGATGTCATCTTGTGCTTTTTGCCAAATACAGGAGATGGATAGGCAAGTTCCCTTGATGGATGAGATTGATACCAAGGTGAAAAACTATTTATTCTATTGGCATAGCTGATGATGCAGCTAATGGATTGATTTTGACCCAGAGCTAACTCTCTTTGATTTTTGCAGGTGGATAAGGCAACTTCTGATCTCAAGAATACTAATGTCAGACTTAAGGATACAGTGACACAGGTATTGAATTACAATATAATGCTTAACTGTTACATTTCTATCCTTAGGTTGTATTATTTTTCTCTCTTAGTTACGTGACATGCGTTTTTATTTCCAGCTGAGGTCGAGTCGAAACTTCTGCATCGATATCATCCTCTTGTGTATAATTCTTGGGATTGCTGCATATTTGTACAAGTAAGATCATTGTTTACTCTTGTTCCATTTTTAAAAGTACTTTAGGATAATGTTTAAACATTCTCGCCTGCATTAATTTAGGGTAGAAAGGAGAAAAATAATTCATGTTGCTTGTTAATGTTGAATCATGATTTTCATGAATGTTATTGCAATTTTCCATATGTTACCTTGCTTTAGAGTAATACGCCATGCTTTGTGGCCTTTTTGTTAGTGCTCTAGGCTTACTAAGCCCAACCTCTTATTTGATTATTTGAGCTATAATGTTTATATACATTCCAAAAGCTACAAAGCACTCTTGCAATGTTGTTGCTTTAATTATGATTTGATCAAAAGTTTTGATTTTAATGTCAAATGTAGTCTATCATTTTAATAATATTTTAAAAATAGTGTAAATTAATTTATTTTAAAAAAAATTTATTAAATTATGCTTGAGTACTGTAATGGACTGACCAAAGAGGGATGGGAAAGGATTTTGTAGTTGAGCTCTGTAACATTATAAAGTTCTCATGTTTTAGATGAGAAAGTAAGGAACTCGAAACAATGTATAAAAAGGCTCTAGGTGCACAAAGGCATTTCAAAGTTCCCTACTAGGCACGCCTCGGTGTGCCTCATTTAAGCGAGGCACTTAAAAAAACAATTAAAAAAAATTATGAAAATAATCTTTGTGTGCCTCAAGAGTACGCCTTAAGTGCGCTTTGGTGCGCCTAGGAGTGCCTCTGTGCGCCTTTGCTGCGCCTCATCAAAATCGCCTCGCCTAGACCACAAAAAGCGCATGACCTCTAACGCCTTACGATTCCGCGTGCCTTTTCAATCACTGAATCAAAATGTTTGTAAAAAGAGGGGAGTAGAGAGAGAGGCATCAAATTTGTTGAGAACTTAGTCTTTTGTTTGTTTGTTATGAGAGAATTAAGCTTCTTGAAAGTTTGAATTATCTTTTTAATTCTTTGATTTTCCATGGTTTGGTAGAATTTTATTTTTGTAGCCTTTATCTTTCTAGACCGAGCTGTAACCTTATGACTGCTCTCTTTATCTTAGCAAAAAGATAGAGCAATTGTTTTCTACTCTAACTAGCAACTCCTTAAAATTTATGTTGATAAGCAACATAAATGTTACTGTATAAATCTTGTACTACCTCCCTCTTTATTTAATTGAAACCTTTCTTTTACGCTTGCCAACATACTATTTTAACGATTAATATCTCTAATTCCCGACATTGTAAAATTATAAAAAGTTGATATTAATAAATGCATTGAGACGATTCAAACAAGATCCCACTTGACTATGCTTTATCGTAACTATAAATCACAAAAGTTAGTCAAAGAGTAGTTGGTGAATACGATTGCCAACATACTATTTTAACGATTAATATCTCTAATTCCCGACATTGTAAAATTATAAAAAGTGGATATTAATAAAATATGCATCGAGACGATTCAAACAAGATTCCACTTGACTATGTTTTATCGTAACTATAAATCACAAAAGCTAGTCAAAGAGTAGTTGGTGAATAGTGTAAAAGTCAAATGGTGTCAAAAAAAAAAAAAACGGAGAAAGTATTTAATTAAGTTTGTGAAGACCACGTGGTTAATATTATTGCCTCTATGTTGTTGAGGCTAGTTGATTAATTTAACTATATGCTCTACAAATTTGCTATTAAGAATTGGATACTTTAAGTAGAGATATAGAGAAAATAGCTGTAGATAGTTGATTATCTCCTTAATTTGAAAAGACGTGAGGTGCATGAAGGTGCAAAAGTCCTTGGGGACTAGGCGCAAGGCTGAAGTTTAGTCATAACAATTTTTCTACTCTTTCTCTACCTCTTTTTCTCTTATTTATGCGCCTTGCATACTCTTTCCCTCCTCTAACTAATTTTTTGCCCTCTTCCTCAACAACTAATAAGTCATAACAGTATTATGCTGTAATACCCGGAGCAACTTTTCCTCTTTGGCCCAGTGCTGAGCCTCATTCCCACACTTGAAACTGCTTTTTCTTCATCTTGCGTTAATACGTAATATTTGAAGTATTATTTACATGTTATTGATGCATGCCAAACATATTTCCATGTGAGAACCAAAACAACAAACCACTGTATTCATTTTACTTGATCACATGGGTTTTCTACCCTTTTATAATTACTCATCTATCCTAAAATTTTGTGCATTTTAGAAATGTTACTTTATTTAATAATGAAGTAATTATTGATAGATAAGGTAATTGTAGGCAATCAAATAAGTATTAGTTGGATAATGTAACGAACCAAAAGAAGTCACTTGTCCTTTTCAACTGAACCAAAACAGGACCACACAAGATTGGGGGCTGGTGTATAATTGCAAGATCACCATTGTATAATTGAGCCACCACCCTATATCTCCTTTCTTCTTCCAACACCACCAGCACCTACACATACTGCAAATAGTCCATGGCATGGCCTATAGAATAGATTGGTTGCTGAAAAGAATTTTTAAGGAAAAAAAATAAAAATAAAGATACTACCTCCCAATTACAAGACTAATGAAATATCCAAATAAATAAATGAAATTGAAAAAGAATTGAGAAACCTAGAATCAAAATGTCTCCACAGTATTAAACAGGGATATTATATCATACATTAAGCATAACTTAAAAGGGTGGACATAAGAACGAGGTGAAATTCTAGAAGGATTATAAAATTATATGAAAAGAAAAAGAGTTAGATGTCCATCCCTATAATGGTAGTAGGTGAAAGGCAAATGAGACATTTAGAGAATAAAGGGATGATATGAAGGTTAGGCAGTGAGTCTATGTTTCCTAAAACTAAAATGAATAGAATAAAATCACTTTAAGTGGCTCAATGCTTCTACTTCGAACTCCAACAGCTTGAAGCTTGTTTATTTCAATGCATTTCTCAAATAGGATTTTTTTCTTCTCATTTTCAAAGGAAATAATGGAAACTAAGAAATCCACAAGCCTTTAATTATTAAGGTAATCTTTTAGACTTAATAATTAAAAATTGTTTATCTTAATATGTAAGGTTATTAAGCTAATTTATCAATATTACCATAGGTTTTTAAGCTTATTATCAAGAGCTTCTAAGCTTGCTTACCTTAATATCTAAGCTTTTCTCATAACGCATCTTGATGGAACTTGTTAACATCGTATTAATGACAAAGACATCACTTGTAACATTTCTCAAGTTAATTGATAGAACATTGCAGAAATTTCCAGTAGTGAGGAAGTGAAAAAAAAATAAAAAATTATTAAATAGTATAACCTAAATTTGTTTTTCTTCATTCATGTAGCACGCATTCATTGGGATTGTAAATAAGGTAAAATAAACATTTCTATTCCCTCATTCAAATGTACTCCCTCCATTACATATTGTTTTCTCACTTATTAATTTTTTTTTTCTCTGTATATAAAACCTAGGAATATAGGCCAATTTTATGCACTTACCCTCCCCTTCTATATTAAAAAACCTCCATAATATATCCTCTCATTACCAAATAAAAGTCTAAATAAGCTAGATTTAGGAGTTATTGATGATACACTATTGTTAGCTCTTAAAGTAGAACTGAGCTATATCCTATTTCCTCGTATGCCTCTCTAAATATTTTAGGTCACCATTGGGCATTTTTCTGTCCCTTTCATTGTCTATGTGTAGATGTTTATCGAAACATAATTGATATGCTTCAAAATAAATACTGATGTATTTTGGTTATAATTAGCATAATCTGTAGAACTAGTTACTTTTATATATTTATATTTCTCTATTTGAATGCTTTGTTAAATGGAAGCTAATTGTTTGTGCAGTGTATTGAAGAAGTAAATGATAAGGGGAGCTGCCTGCCATGTGGCTCCGGTATTTTCTCGTCTGTCAGTGTTGAGGGTGTGGGTTGTTGGTGTGTTTTTATCTCCATGTCTTTTTTTATACCTTTGCTTGTTCTTGGAAAATCAATGTGTATTGCATATCAACACTTCATGTACATCTGTCCTTGTATACACATCATTATTGGTAATGTTCCTTATTATTATCATTTTATAGAGAAGGTTATTTTAGTTCCTCTTCATCTGTCATGACATTAGAATGCAATAATACATTTGTTATTTTAAATTCGTAGCAAAATCATCTGGATGAAATCTGTGTAATCATTGGCCAAATAAATGACTTAGAGTGAATGGTCTGTTTCGTGTAACATCTGTTTCTTGGGACAGTGGAGAAAGATTTCTTGTATTACCAATATATTTTTAAATTCCTTTATTTGATTATTGTTTACTAATTTAATTCTGTTATCGTCATCATCACCTGCCATTACCAATATATTTTTAAATGCCTTTATTTGATTAAGTATTGTTTACTACGGAGTAATTAAGTAATGCTACTCTATCCACCTCTTCCAGATTCCTTATCTTTCACACCATAGCCCCATCCTTCAATACCTCTTTTCTTGGATAAGACTACTCTAAAATTTAAGTTACATCTTGCTAAAGAAAATGGGCTCCTGATTAAAGTAAAATTCTTTGATGGTACTATCTGCCATTTCTGATGATATATATTGTCAATTTTTCTGAGTTTTTCTACTTTCAGTTTTTAAATCATACCCATTTCTAAAAGATTCAGTATTATTCCGGGATCATAAAATACTAATGTAGTGTCTGCTAAAATAATCTTTGATATGATAAACCCAACAAAATAATCAATGACACATTTTTTGGTGTTCCACCCGGTTCACCCTTTGGGCTAATTCAGATTCGACGATCAGTTTTTGGTGGTTAGGTTCCAGTCTCCTCCCAATTGTTGTTGCGAAGATCGAATACGTCGTCCTCCCTACAATCATCACTACACCAACACCCAATTAATAATAAATGACACGTGATAGATATGTTACTAAGTTAAGTTACATTTGCACAAAATTGCATTCATTTGTTTTGGAAACCCAACTGCTTTGAAGATACTTGTAATGAACTCATTAACAGGCACTTAATATAATGCTTGAATGAATGTCCTTCCTTTCTCTGTATATACCTTATACAGAGTATTCTGTATGTATAATTCGTCCTTCCTATTCTTCCTGTTTACTGTAATCTTCAGCTAAAGTGGTCATTTTTTTTCTTTTAGCCAAGAAAAAGCGTCAAACAAAATGTAGTCATAAAGAATAATTTACAGTAAGCATTTACAGGTTTAATTTGTTTGTTTGAATTCTGATTCTAATGGATGAAAATTGCGGAAACAGAGGTACGTTAGTAGGAAGAGGAGGAAAAAACTATTCTTTTATCCTTGTTTTTGGTGAAAATTTCATCATACACCCGGTATGGTACACCCGGTCAAAATACAAGAGTTATAAATACGCGGAAAAAACATTGTGTACAACTATGAAGTACACGAGCAAATAAAAAAAAAAAGAATCAAAATGATTTTTTCTTGTTTTAAGAGATTGATTTGTTATTTACACTCCTTGATTTATGGAATTGATTTATTATTTACATTCTATATTACTTTCGATAAACAAAATTTCATTTTTTGTTGAGAGAGAAATTGAGTTTATATAGAGAGAAATCATGGTAAAATTTGAATTTCGAAGGGATTTAATGTTATTACGAAGTTGATTATATCGTTTGGATGAATCTTTTAATTAAAAGATGTAATTGATGAATTTATTGTTGTGAGAAAAGGTATTTTTCAATTTATATTTATCTACTTCTTTATTTTGGTGTTATTTTCTATGGTTGAAGATGATGTTCTTTATATTCTGATAAATGTTCTTTTATCACTTTGTAATTGGAATGAAATATGTTTCTGAAGTTTGATCAATATGTTCATTCAGTTTAAAATATATGTTCTTTACGTTACAAACTATTCTTTAAGGTATATAAATTAATCATGATTTTTGCGTATGCAATAATATAATACAAATTATGTTCTTTTTATTTGAATAGTATGTTCTTAAATTTTGAATTATATTGAGAATAGTTGTAAATAGAAGAAATCTTGATATCTGAATATTTTGAAATGATTTGACATTAAATTTTTGGTAAAAATCAATTAATAATTATCTTTTACTTTTTTTCTAAAACTATTCTCATAAATTAATGTGTTCTTTATATTTCAGTGATATGTTCCCTTATAAAGTCATTATGTACTTTATAATTATATATTACCTACATTTTATATTTTTTGCAACTTTGGAATATTTTATATCTCACAAATAATATCCTGAAGTTGCAAAAAATAAGACACGGAGGTAATACTAAGTTTTTTCCACTTTAGTCGGGTGACCCGGTTGTATAAACCACCAATTAATGTTTTGGTGGAAACTTTTGCAAAATTTGGGAAAGAGGGTACCCGTGAGTTTGTTCGGGCACTTTAATAACTTTTGTTGCGGAAAGAAAACCTAAGAATCTTCCTTGATTGTTCATCTGTACTTATTGTCAAAAATGTTTATTTGCACCTTTTCTTTTTAGCCTTTGTGGATAAGATAATTTCTTTTAGAGCTGGATGTATGAGATTTTTTCTGGAGTTAAGTTCTAGGGAATAGCATGATGAAATCAGGGTTTCGGTTGCTATAACAGTCATGGAACCTAATTTGTAGGCAATGTGAATGGCTTTTGGCTGTTGCAGCTTAATAGCATGGCTGGTAACTCGAAAACCTTTACACTTTGGCCACAATGCTGTCTGTGATGCAGCCAAGATTGAATAACTTGATGGAAATAAAGAACTACCGAACTCGTGCATTATTTTCTTTTTTAGATATGCGAACACTTCAGTTGTTTGGCTTTTATGCAAAAACAATTATGTAAGATTGTTAGGGAAGCTGATTACTTGCAGCTGATTGAGGCTTCTGTCTTTGTTTACTGTTTCTTTGTGAACTGTAAGAGTTTTAGATCTCCTTTCCATTTTTGCTCTACATTTTCGTTTAAATGGGGCTTAGTTTATTCAATAATATGGAGTATATAAATTGTAGGAAATGTGACAACTTGAAATAGTTAAACTTGCTGACATTTTGTTAAAGACTGTATCCATTTTTCTTTGGTTGGTACTTAATAGCCCTATGAATTTATGCTCAACAGTTGAAAGGTGTAACTTGCCATCTTCATAATTGTCCTGCCTCGTAAGAATCCGAGTACACTCAGGGGTTTTGCACATCACAAATCACAAAAAGCGGCTAAACTCTTAAACCACTAGCTTGGAGCTTGTATGTTCGTTGTTGGTGCTATTAGATTTCAGTTTGGTTGCTAAAATGAAAACAATACTTAATTTATTTTTTTTCTTTCCAAAAGAGTATTCTAATATGTTTTGTTCTAAGTTGTTAAAATATTGTGATTCCGGTAATTTTGATTATTAATTAGGCCCTGTTCACTTCACTTTAAAAAAATAATATTAAGTAAAAATAATTTCAATTCAATAAAAATAATTTTAGTTCAGTAAAAATAAGTTCAGTTCAGCAAAAATAAGTTCAGTTCAGTAAAATTTAGTAACGTTAAAAAAGAGATATAATAGAAAATCAGTAAAAATAATTTCAGTTTAGTAAAAATAATTTCAGTTCAGTAAAATTAATTTTAGTTCAGTATAAATAATTTCAGTTCAGTAAAAATAATTTCAGTTCAGTAAAAATTAATTTCAACTCAGCAAAAATAAAGTGAAGTGAACGGAGCCTTAGTTTTTTTATACAATCAAGCTTCTTCAAGCTCACAATTGTAGCCTACATAACCATTGTTGTCGCCCCGTCCGTTCAACACAGTAGGATTGTAGGTTGTTAATCTTCTGCTTGTGACTTAGTTTGCTCATTGTCCGCCTTCTAGGACCCTACCATGGGCAGTACACGTAACTAGGGATGGTAATGGGTCCAAGACCCTACCAGACCCTACCCTAAAATACGGGTATGGGTCTAATTTTTTTAGACCCTATGGCTTCGGGTAGGGTATGGGTCTAGGTGGTATCGGGTAGGGTAAGGGTCTGAGTACAATGTATTCAGACCCTACCCTAACCCGTACTTAGACCTGTCCAATATAATAATTTTGTAGGATCTTGATAATGAAATCGAGTATGATACAAAAGAAGACTAATAACTTTGTAGTTGTACATTTATTTATATGAGAATGAGACTTTGAATTCTAAAGTATTTATGGACAAAAATATTTTGAGATAATATTTTGAGATCCGCATTAGTTTTTTTTTTTTTCATAGTTGTTGAACAATTTGTCAAATTAATTATAATGTTCTCATGTATTATAATTATTATTAGGAAATTTTGTTAAATAACACCTTTTAAAAGACCTATGCATTTAAAAGATTTTTGTTATGAAGAACCACCTTATAAATTTTTTTTTGTAAAACACATTTGACCCCGATTTCAGACCAATTGACTTGGTTTACTGGCGTTGATTGGTCATGTGAGCCTCACGTGCTCCGATTAAACCCCCCTCTAATTTTTTTACCCTTTTTTTCCTCCAATTGAACTTTCTCTCTCCTCTCATTTACTTCTCTTTTGTCTTCCTCACCTCACCATTATTGCTCTACAAGGAATGTCTGCCATGCCAGGAACGAATTGAATGCTTCAATTAGTGAGTGAATTCTGGGCAAGCGAAAGAGTAAGTGTAAAATTTTCTCTCTCCTCTCATTTGCTACTCAATTTTTGCTTTTGTACTTGGCTAATTGTCACCACTTTCTTCTCTGTGGCTGCCATTGGTAAAAAAGGGAAGCTTGCTGGGAATAGCACTTTTGTCCCCTCGACATTAATGCTAACTCCATCCTACAAAACATTGGTGGGAAAATATCAGCCCCAAATTTGTAGCCCTAATTTCAATTTAAAACCCTAAGTTACGAAATTTTGCAAACCCGTCAAACAATATCATTATTTAAAACAACTTACTTGACTCGAAATTAGGTGAATTGAGTTTTTTTTAAAGAAATTCGAGCTAAACAATGGAGTTTTTCTTCTTCAATGGAAAGAAATGGAGGTTTGGGTGGAAGAACAGGGGAGAGAGAAGGTTTAAATGGAGCAAGTTCAATCGGAGGGAGTTCAATGAGAGGGAAAAAAAATAGAAGGGGGGTTTAATAGGAGCACGTGAGGCTCAGGTGACCAGTCAACGCCAGTAAATCTAGTCAACTGGTCGTCTGAAACCGGGGTCAGTTGTGTTTTTATAAAAGAAAAAAAAAATTATCTAGTTTTAGGTGTGTTTTTGCAAAAAAATAAATAAATAAATTATAAGGTGGTTTTTCACAAAATTAGTTTTTTAAAAGGTGTTATTTGACAAAATTTC